GCTGGGGGATTGAACCGCGGTCCCTGATGCTTTTGCTAAGCTTGTTCTAAGTAGGTGCTTTAGACCACTGAGCCATCTCTCCAGCCCCCGCCGTGCACTCTTAAACATCGACCCTTAGACGATGGAGTCTTCGTAGGTCTGGGATCCCTCCAAGTTGAACGTCTGAGCGTTGTGACACGGAAGCATGACATCTTTGTCCAGGTCCCCCAGGCTCCAATACTTATGATTATAAATTCTTTCCTTTATTTTTTTTTGAAATCCACTGGCTTCCTAATGAATTCATAGTACTCTGGGAACTCTTTCCTGGAAGGTAACTGAATGAAGACTCCACTGAGCTGCAGCCCTGAACTATCTTTGTAGTTGATCACAGTATCAGTGATAGTGTTCATCTGTTTTGTCAGTTTGGGGAGATTTGGTGACAGCTTCTCAGCTGGAGAATGGCCTCACCTCTTCTTAGCTTTTTCGACATCTTCCTTCACAAGATCTCTGTACACATTTCTTTTTCTTTTTCCCTTCTTAAGCAGTATTTCTTCTTCCATTTCCTCCAAACTGCCATCTTCAGTGGCCCCATAGTTTGCCTCTAACACAGTTTATCAACAACAGGCCTCTTGGCTCAGAGCAAATCTTTCTCACAGTGCAAAATGTAATTAATAACCTCCCTTGAGGACCTCAGATATCTTTTTCAATATCCTAGTGCAAGATGTTTGACCTTCTTTATTGCCATTAACCTTTTCATCAACCACAGTTTCCATGGACTCACATTTACATGTATTTTCTTTTTGACAAAACTGTACATTTTTCAAATCCTCAGTTTTGCCTTTGCTTCTGTTTCTCACTTTAGTTCTGGCTAAAAGCAGCTAGTGGTACCATGCCACAGCCTGAAGGCTGGGCTGCCTTGGAATTTTCTCTGCCAGACTACTTAGCTTATTACCTTTAAATTTAGCTTCATGTAGGTTCTTGGGACATGGGAAGAAGAAGTTCATTGCCCAATTTCAACATGCCTGGTCTGTAGTTCAACTCCCACACTAATCCTTGTTTCTCTTGGAAACTTCATCAACCTGACCCTTCCACATTTCTATCAGCCTTCTGTTCTGAGCTCCAACCATAATCATCTGCCAAGCTTTGTTAGCAGAATTCTATAGCTTCTTTATTCTGATTCTCAGCAAGCTCCCCCCATGAGCCATGTCCAAAAACTTCTGAGCCCAGTGATAACCTTTGGCCACAGCAATGACTCAACTTCTCCAATACTTTTTTTTTTTTTGTTTTATTGGTTGCTTTTTCATTGCTAGGATAAAATACATGACACTCAATATCTTTAAAGTATTTTAAGAGCTTTCTTTGGCACAGATGGATTCTATGGATACTGGCTCCAAGATATGATGGGAGGTCCTGCTGAATGAAAACTCTTTAAAATATGGCAACTGGGAAGCAGAATAGGAGAGAAAGGTTTTGTGGACTGGCATACAGCATTCTAGTTCCTGCCTCAGGAACAACTCGTCTGCTCATCTTTTTTTTTTTTTTTTTTTTTTTAGTGGATGATTGTTTTTATTTTTTTTACTGTCTGCTCACTTTTTAACAGAAATATTATTCAAGAATTGTTCTGCAGTTCTGGAAAGGATCATATGATTTTTCACATTCATTCTACTCACGTGCTGCACTACATTTATTGATTTTCATGTGCTTAACAATTCTTGCATCCTTGAAACGGAAGCAAGTTGACTGCCATATGCAATCTTTAAAAAATTCTGCTGAATTCAATCTGCACGAATTTAACTGAGTGTTTTGGCATGTGTATACATCGAGTGTGGACTTGCACTTTTATTTTTGTTATTTTCTTATCAAGTTTTGTGTCAGAATCATACTAGAGTCACATAATTAGCTTAGAAGGAGGTGCTCCTGGAATCTCTAACTTCCTAGTTTCGCCACTGTAACTTTAGCTTCACTCTCACAGCTCCATGTGTCAGTCAGAGGCTCCTGCAGGGACTCGAAGCACATCACACCTGGAATTCCAGGCCTTCTGCTGACATCTGGCTGGAAGGCTTTGTGATTACCTCTTGCATTCAACATGCCTAGAAAGCCAGCATTTCATGGATGCTGCCAGGCTCTCCTGCCAGCATGGGCTATAGCCAAAACCTCGTTAGACCACGGCTGCAGGGACCTCTAAATATTTGAAAGAATAAGCATGATGAAATGAATCCTGGGGAACCAACTAATCAGGAGGATCTTCTCCAGCGAGCATCGCAAGGATTTGTTCTCAAATGGCATGATTACACTTCTGAAGCCTTGAGTTTGCAGTTGGGGGGAAATCACAGCTTTCTGAAATGCTCTGAAAGCGTCTTTCATCTTGATCTGGTTCAAAGTACTTGATTTCTTTATAATGGTCTGATGCCTTTAGCAACCACACAGTCTTTAGCTCCAGCTTTATGCATTATGTTTTTAATTATGGATAAAATGAAAGTTTCTGTCGTATTTTGATTATACAGATACAAAATGGTCCTTCATTTGTATCCCCTGTTTTTTTTAGTTTTGTCAGAGATGGGTATTCCATTGCCATTAAATATTGTAGGTGCATGAATTCAGCAAAATAATCCAATATACAGCTACTTTCTCTTCATTCAATAAGAAGAAAGATTTGCTCTAACAGTGTTTGTACAGGATATCATGTTTGCATCTTGTAGTATGAATAACCACTATGAGGACAATAATATGAGATGTATTAATCATTGAAGCTGTTCTACTAATTGGTTTTGAAGCTGTCTCATTGCTATTTGTTTCTCAATAAAATTAATTAAAAAATAAAATTTAAAAAAATGAAAGTTTCTCAAATTTTTCAGCTTTACGTTTCTTCCATGTTCTTACTAAAATCTTGCTGAAGTCAGTCAGCAGTACACATACTAGAGCCTGAACATTGCTCTGACTTGAGGTTTCTTTTGTCAGATTAATTAGTTCATTGTCTTTAAGCTTGGTTCCA